AACATTTCTGAGTAGCTATTATTTAGGAGCATTTAAAAGTTTTAATTTGGGTCAGATTTTCAAAGATATTTAAACACCTAAAGATGTACCTAGGCACCTAATTCCCATTTGATTTCAATGGGAGTTAGGCACCTAGGCATTTTCAAAATCCCCATAGGTGCCTACCTGCATCTTTAGTCACTAAATATGTGTCTCTCATCTGTTAAATGGGAACGATAGTACTTTCCTGCATCACAAGAGTGTTTTGAATATAAATACATTAAAGCTTGTGGGGTACTCAGGTGCTATGTTATTGGAAGCCTTGTAAGTACCTAAGATAGGAGATACCATCTCAGAAAAATCTAAGAGTAAAATCATCCCTTTATATATTAAGTGTCATTTGCAAACACCTTCTTTCAGATACTATATTAACCTGTACTGAAACAGCTGGCAAGACACCTGATAGTCACATGACTACCAAACAAATACACTTCTTAATTACGGGTTTGTAAAAACGCCAAGGAAATATTTACAATATGTTCATCACCCCTTAAAATACAGAAGCATAAAACTTCATTTTTGTAAACAGCTCTCCAGATTTTATGGAGACACAAAAATGGTTTTATGGGGGGTAGGGGAGATGGAAGTATTTGCTAAGCTGAGGATGAAATTCACTTCCTATCACTATAGTTATTGATTTTCTTTTTTTAACAGAAATATTCTGTGGGATGAAAAAGCATCACTGATAACACAGCCTTGACATGAAAGATACTTTAGTTAAAATAGTTTGGTTTAAAAAAAAAAAGTCTTTGAACATCTCAGGGTTTCAGCTTTTCTTTGACAACAATGGTGCTAGAAGTAAGAAAATATCCTCAGCTGGTAGGAACGAGGTTTAAGCAATCAGACACACACACAGAGAGTTCGTTCAAGTAAGTTTTGAACCAGACTACCTATATATGAATTTCAAATTTTCTCAGTCTTGATGCTACTAAGAGATTCAACATTTTGGGCCTGACCATTCTTGATGGAAAGACTCAGATTGATTTAAATGGGCTTTGGATAAGGGTCATTGTGGGCATTTCCTTTTCTGTCTCTTGTGGTGCAAGCATTCCATAAGATAAGGTTAAGCTATATGCATGCTCTCAAAAAGTCAATAATGCAATAGGAAGTAACTACACCTCTACCCCAATATAACGCGACCCGATATAACACGAATTTGGATATAACGCGGTAAAGCAGCGCTCCGGGGGGGCGGGACTGCGCACTCCGGCAGATCAAAGCAAGTTCGATATAACGCAGTTTCACTTATAATGTGGTAACGTTTTTTGGCTCCCAAGGACAGCGTTATATTGGGGTAGAGGTGTAGGTGTTTGTATGAACACTTCTTGCTTCCTGTTAGTTTTTCTAAACTTAGAGACTACAACTCCCAGCATGCAATACTGGTTCTAGCAACATGACATTTCCCTCCGTCTTAAGAACAAACCCAATTTCACAACAATAATAATGCAATACTTTGCTACTATATTAAACACCAATTAAGTAATTAGAAAATAAATAACCATTTCTTCTTTGTTATTGTTTATGTAACTACAGTTAGAATTCTAGTTATAATTGCAAACTATTAATAATTATGTAAGTCTCTAGTCCGTATAGGTGGCTATCTGGCTTTGACAGCATGTCTGTCAGGCCCAATGTCCTATTGGTTATCCTACAGTGTCAGTGGCAAAGTAAAATATTCAGGACCAGTCAGAAGATCTGAAACATCTCTGCTTCACTCCTGGTAAGCAGGTACAAGATGAATAGCATTCCATACCTGACCCTCTGACAGCTTGTAAGGGTATGGTCCTTTTTTGGCAACACGTTTCAGTGGTGATGTGAACCTGTGTTCTCCTTTTCATAAGATTCCAGGTTATCCTACTCTTACAAATGAACCACATTCAAATTTTGGTCCCTTGGCACCACAGGGTTTATCTGTATGGGTCTTATATTTTTGCTGTTTATGTTGAACTGTTTGGCTTACGCCTGGCTGTACAGTTTTATCAGATGTAGGTCTTTGTAATCCAGCAGTGTTTAATTTAGTGTACATCTCTCTGCCATGCAATAATTCAGCAGGTGAGCTTTATGTTGTGGCATAGGGTATAGCCCTGTAGATTTGTGAGAAATCTGTAGGGAAGGTAGTCCCTGCTTTTCTTTCCAACATAGCTGCCTTCTTTTGTCACCACTGTGCAATCTATTCAATAATATAATTCTGTACTAGCTATTTTTAAATCTTGTGATATCGCCTCCCTGACTGAGAATGCTAGACAGCACAACTTCTGTCGTATGGGCGTCACGTTAGGTCGAAGTCTAATTTTGTGAACAAATCCAAATGCACAGCCACGGGATTCCTTTTTCCCATCCTCGTTAAGCAGGGAGGCTGGAGTTTGTGGGTAGTGGTGCCAGGTGGAGTAGAAGAAATGCCCCCATTGACTAACAGCATATTTAGTGAGGCAAACAAATCTCTGCTTAGGATGGAGTACCCCTGTGCACAATATAAAATTCTACATCAGAAGTCACAGTTACAAGGAAGCAACTAAGCACAAGAATGCGGGTCATCAAGTAGTGCACTAGGTGTAAGCTTGGTTCAGTAAGTGTCACGCATCCAAAGTATTGCAAGTAAATCAATTCAGGTAGTATAGAAACTGCAGAGCCATTGTCCGACATTCATTCCATTGCCTGGGGATTCCCTCCTTCGGTAGCAGAAACATGAACAGTGCACATTATTGTATCCACAAGGCATGTGGAGCCGCTTCCGTCCACGCTCAAAACAGGGCAAGTCTACACTACCGCACTACATCGGCGCAGCCACACCAGACGCATTCTGCCATCGGCATAATTACTCCACCTCAACGAGAGGTGGAAGCCAAGTCAGCGGGAGAGTGTCTCCCACCAACATAGCACAATGTTGACACTGCTTTCAAGTCGATGTAACTTAGTTGCTCGGTGCGGTGGCTTTTTCACATCCCTGAGTGATATAAGTTACATCGACTTAAGCGGTAGTGTAGACAAGCCCATAGTAACGTCAAGCACAGTAATTTCATATACTTGTTGATATGTCTGGTCTTTTGGCAGTGAATGCACCGAAATGCCTTTGCAGGACACGTTGTGTAAATCCACAGCAGTAACATACTTTTCCTCATGTGTTTTTGAAGTCACTGCGCCTGTAACTTCTCCTTTGCATTGCCCTTGTAATGTTTCGACTGCTTTGTTGTAGAAAACATCTGTAAGGATTGCATGGCTTGGATTACATGTGCTGTACCTGCACTTGTTATTTTTGCCTCCACCATAACTGACTCGATGTTATTAGCAATGGTTATGGCGTTCCGTAATGTCAAGTCCAATTCAAGGAGTTGGTGTTCTCTGATATGGGACACAACTATTTTCTTCACGAGCTGATCTTGAATCATTTCATCTACCATGTTGCCAGAATTACATGTGACAATCAATTCCTTTAAAGCAGCAATATACAGATACCCCTAGCTTCTGTTCATGCTGGTGAAATGTTTAGTGTTCACCTACCACATTTACTTTAGACGCACACAAAAACCGCTGTAACGTAGTGAGTGCATTATCATATTTATCGTTTATCTGCTCATCTGCTCCAAGGCAGTGAATAAGCAGAACTTGGTTTGGAAATAAGGATATAGTTCTCAAACACTCAAATCCAACATTAAAAGCAGTTGGAGGCACAACTGGGCTTTGAAGAAAGGGTGCAGGTGCATTCAGGGGCAGGAGTGCCCTCCTCATCACTAGTTTGTGGAATAGTAGAGGCCGAGATCAAAAGAGCAAAATCTAACCAATTTTTTTTATTAAAACAACAATCCATGCAGCTCCACAAACAGCTGCAGTACAGGGGCCTTTGACTCAGCTGTGACATCCATCTACTTACACGTTTTTTCCCCCTGCTTCCTTTTAGTTTTTCCAAAATCAAAGACTACAACTCCCAGATGCAATACTGGATCTAGCAATGTCACAGTATACCCAAGCCCTTAAAATGCGGTTCTGAAAAATGTCTGCGGACATAACCATAGAGACAGAGGGACATGCCTGTAGAAGCAGGGGGATGTTATTCGAAGACCCTGGCAGCACAGAGAGTTGAGCACACTACCTTAGTAAGAGATGTAAAGCAGCAGGGCTCGAGAATAAAGATGGGTATTGAAGCCAAGGACTGACCAATTTGGAAATTTTGGAGTATCTGCAGGCATTGGGAGGGGGTGATAGTTTCCTATGTGCTTACTGCTCAGTGAGTACCGTTGGACTGGATGTGATCCAAACTGCCCTTGTGAGCTTCACATTGACTGTAGCATTAGGGTTGATGCCATCTAGAGGGTTACGTACAGAAGTTAAAATAATCACATGCTTTTGTTCTTTTATCAGCCAATCATGTAGAAGTTGTAAAAAAACCTGGAGGCTCCTACCACAAAGTATGACACACTGAGGTTATACCAAAAGCAACAGAGGGTCCTGTGGCACCTTTGAGACTAACAGAAGTATTGGGAGCATAAGCTTTCGTGGGTAAGAACCTCACTTCTTCAGATGCAAGTAATGGAAATCTCCAGAGGCAGGTATAAATCAGTATGGAGATAATGAGGTTATACCAACTACCTTTAGAATAGTACAAAATCTGAAAGCACAAAGGAGAGTACTATTCCCAAAGCATCACATACTCAATAAATATTTTAACAACCCCCAAAGTTGACAAGTAATGTCATTTTGGCATTGTATTAAAACTAGTTTTTCCTGTCTACTGGGAAATGCACATTGCATTACTAAGAAGGCAATGAAAATATTCACTGCTTACCTTGTTCTAAAGGTTTTTATAGATTCATAGATTCATAGATTCA